CACCTGACTGGGTGACCCAGCCGCTTAGTCGGGTTCAATTGAACGAACCGCTCCCACGGGGACCCGCCTATATAGGTTATATAGATTAAATAAGGCTTACGTGCCTCTCTAAGGTCAACCGACCGCACGCAAGCTTCCTGCTCGGGATTCTTCCTGCGGCATCACTTTACACATATTCAATCAGACACATATTATTGTCACAACGTTCAAATACCCTCTCAACGGTATTATCCTTACAAGGCCGAAGTATACCGCTTGCAGTCTCCTTTTATTTAATACTTTAGCAATACTATTACGGATAAAATCGAATTTAATACTATTAATACTTTTACTTATACAAAGAATAATATATATATAAAAGTTTCCCCGCGGAGAAAAATCCCTAATCGCCCGTAGAAGACTTTCCCTATAGAGAAACAATTATTTATAGAAGGACTTAATACTAATAGGGCGCTATAAATATAGTTAGGGATTAAATAGTTTAAGGGTAATTTAATTTATCCTTAAACTATTTTTAATTTATTTTAATTATTCCTACTATTACTAATTCTAATACTTTAATTATAATTACTAAATTTAAACTTTAAATAAAGAAATTATAGTTTCTATAAACTCACTTGTATTATAATAGAATTCGTCCTAAATAATATAACTCCGGCCTTTACTATTATTATTGTAACGGATAAGGGGAGGGTTTATAATAAATTTATAATTAATATAAGTTCTATAAAATATACTTTAAAAATTTATAATTATATTTAACCGTTTTATATAATATATAAATAAATAAAATAGAGGAATATATATTATAGTATTACTTATATATTTTTTTTATCTATTAAATATTAATTTAAGAATTATTAGTAATATATTAGAAATATATTAGAAGTACAATTAGGAGACTTATATTCCCGTTCTTTTAGAAGGGCGTTTATATTAAACTATCCGCTTTTTTCTCTACTTTATTATTTTACTAGTTCTCTTACACTCCTCTATCTTCAAATTCTAATTGTAAATTTATTAAATTCAAATCTTCTTTATCTTTCTATTACTTCTCCTACTATATTTCTTACTTATCCTCCTATTACTTATCCTCCGGCTATTTTCCTTATTTATCCTCCTATTATTTTTTTTATTTATCTTCCTACTATTTATTTTCCGGCTATTTCTCCTATTTATCCTCCTACTATTTCTCCTACTTATCCTCCTATTATTTATCTTCCGGCTATTTCTCCTATTTATCCTCCTACTATTTCTCCTATTTATCCTCCTACTATTTATCCTCTAACTACTTTTCCTACTCATCCTCCTATTACTCATCTTCCGGCTACTTCTCCTACTATATTTCTTATTTATTTTTTTACTACTTGTCCTAAATTAAAAGTAAGTCCGATATATAAATCTAGAGGGCATTTTTAATCTAAATAATTAAATCCAATTCTCTATTAAAACCTATTACCTTACGTTTCTTAGGAATAATCGGGTGTAAAGTCCTATTAGGGATAGGGATAGTTATAGCCTAACCTAAGGTTATAAAAGCTATTAAATCCTTATACTATCCTAAATTTATTTATAATTAATTTAATTGTATTGAAATTTTATAGGGTTAAATTATATACTAATAATAATTATATAAACTTTAATTTTAATACTTCTAATTGAAACGTCCGGTAAATATTCTTTAGGAATATTGTAAATACTCTTTAAATACCTAATTAAATTACTATAAATTGTAAATATAATTTAGTATAATTAAATATTAGCTTTTATATTAATTTTAACAACCTTCAAATCTTATTTATATTAAAATTATATTAAATATCCGTGCTATAATAATCCAGCTTAGGCTCCTTCTAATAGTAAAAGATCTTATTAGGGACGATTATATATATACCCTATAGAAGTTAATAGGGATAATTCAGGAATAAATTAATATTTAATCCCTATACTTATATATTTATTGGCCTCTAAAGGGAATACTACAACTTAACGTTTACCTTTATCCTTAGATTTAGCGGGTTTCTAATTACTATTTAAATATTCCTTATATATATTAAAGGTTGTAAATTTATAATAAATAGGCGCTATTTTATAAAATAAATTATTAATTACCTTCGATAGATCCTATAGTAGTAGCGGAGTAATGGTAGTAAAATAATAAATATTTAAATAAATAAAGAATAATCGGACGAAAAAAATTTCTAAAAAAAAAATTGAAATTATTCCTCTTATATTAACAAATATATACATAATCGTACAATCTATATTGTTCTATACCTATTATTTATAAAGAGGGGTAAAATATTTAATAAAATCCGTCGATCTACCGACTAATTTCGGATAAAACCCTAATAAGTCCGAGGAAGTCCAAGCTTATTTGCTAACCTATTATATAATCTAAGTTTTTTTTTCTATTAATATTACTATATAGACTTTTATATAGACTTATACATCGCTTACATACAAGATTCGGCATCGTAGTATAATTAACATTTGTATACACTATCTTTTTAAGAGGCCACTAGTTCGAATTACCCTTTTTAAATCCTTTTTTTTAGGTTTTTTTTCTCTTTTTTATTTTTATTTCTAAAAAATAAATTTAATATATATAACTTTATATAAACGAGGATACTATATAATTTAATAGAAGGCTATATAACGCTTAATAACGAGTTTTTTGTATAGATAGAATTTTATAATTTATATTGTAAATAAAATATAATTTCCTTAATAGAAATATTACCTATTTATCTTCCACCTAAATCCGTATATATAAAACTATTAATAAATATTTCCTATAACGAAAATTCTAATAATATTTTTATTTAAAGTATAATTCCCTATAGGAAAATAATAAAGGTATAATTCCCTATAGGAAAATAATGAAGGTATAATTCCCTATAGGAAAATAATAAAGGTATGATTCCCTATAGGAAAATAGGGAAGGTATAATTCCCTATAGGAAAATAATAAAAGTATAATTCCCTATAGGAAAACAATAAAAGTATAGGATAAAAGCATACTTCTTTATATAGTAATAGTACGGTAATAGTAGAGGTAGTATTAGTATAATATATATATAAGGAAATCTAGTAAGGTTAGAAGGAATTAGGATCGGGAAGGGAATTTAATTAAATTTTATAAATATATAGCCCCCGGAGGGGGGGGGGGGGTATAAAGAGGCTTGGGGAATAGAAATATATAAATATAAGTAAAGAAAAATTGGAAAATAATTAATTCTAATATTTAACCTAGCGGTAAAAGGTAGTCTTTAATAAATTAAATACTAGGTAAGTATTTCTAAAACCCTCTAAGGGCTGCTAGCCTATTAAAAATATATTAGTAATATAACTTAAAGTATATATAAATAAAAAAAAGTATTAATTAATCTAACCCAACGCTTACTCTAATATTAAATATATATATTATTCCCGAATAAAAATATTAATTCTATTTTCTAACGTCTTATTAAAATAGAATTAAACTTAAACCGAATTTACTATTTCAATATTACTATCCCCTTTATACCTACTATCTCGACCTTTTATATTTTAATCCCTGTTCTTATTATTATCCTTATTAATTATTATTAATTCCCTATTCTTATTTTTATTACTTCTCCTAAATAAATTACTACTATAACTATCATCCTCTCTATTTTCGTTTATATTTGTTAAATTAATATTTTCCCTCTCGGATAGCCTCGGAATCTATTTAACGAATAAGTCTAAACCCGAACTCCGTAAAGATCTATATTATAAGCGTATTTTATAATTAAATACCGACCCCGTTCGACTTCTATTATACTTATTCCTATTACCTCTCTTAATTATTAATAACCTAATCCTAAAAATTAATTTAAAAAATAATCTAGAAAACGATTGAAAAAGCAACCTTAATATAGATAAAAATATAAAACCCCTCCTTAAAGTTATAATATTAGTAAATTCCAAAGCAATTATATTATTAGGAGGTAAGTACCTTACTACCGATAATATTAGTTAGATATTAAATAACGAAGTAAAGTTTTAGAAACTTCTATATCCTCTTAATATTAAATTACTCCTAGAACTAAATTTTAAAGGAATTTCTAAATATTTAAAGTTAATTAGGATGGAAAAGCCTTTATTTAAAAAACTAAAAGTTATGAAACCTATAGGCGTAAGGGAATAGAGGCGGGCTAGGATGGATATTATAACGCTAGAACCTCCTTTTAAGGAATAAAGGGTTAAATTAGGCTAATATTATTAGGGTTAATAATTATACTAATTAATAAAGAAATTATTATCGTTTAAATTGGACTTTAAATTAAATAAGAGTTTAATTATTATATTAGCGGCCTTTCTAATAATATTTTTAAATAGTAAATTAGTTTCTATATTAAGACCGGGGGTAAATTCCGAATTACTAAAATTAATAGTATTAATAATAGAATTTCCTATAATATTTATAACCGGGCCTCTACCCCTATAGTACAGTCTATTAGAGGACGAAGAATTTAAATTCGAAGAATTTAAACTCAAAGAATTTAAATTTCCCGAATTCGAAGAGTACCCCTATTTTAAATTATTACTCGTACTTATATATAATGGAATATTAATATTATAAACCTTACCGAAGAGTTGGTTATATAATTATATACTAATATTATTATTATAAAAACTTTTAATAAACTTCTAATTTATTTAGCTGGGGTCCTAAGCCTCTTATTAACTATTATTATTAAAAAGAGGCTTTAGGTTCTTTAATTTTGAACTTTCTTAATGGCTAGGTACTTTTTATATAATAATAATATTCGTAATATTTTCGACGAACGACTAGTCGGCTACTAGTTTACGGATAGCAGTTTTAGATATAAATGTAATAGCTTTATATAAGTTATAAAAGCGAATTTACTTTAGACTACGAAGGGTATAAATAAAATTTATTCTTTAAATATAGTGAAGGGCGCGATGTTTATACTAGTTAAATTAGTTAGCGGTTTAATAAATTATAATATCCTAGATAATTAAATTTTTATACCGATAATGGGTATATTTCTTTTTATTTTTATTAATAAAAATAATTAAATTTTTAAGACGATAATAGTTTAGGAGAAAATTAAAAGGGAAAGTATAGTGCGAGATAGGGATATAACTTTTTTCATTTAAAGGAATAATTAAAAATTAGTTTCTTATTAATATAATTTTAAAGTATTATAATTAGTTAATACGGGTTGGGCCGATCCTTTAATAAAATTATAAGAATTCATTTAGATTAGAGAAAGTGAATAAATTAAGGCCGTAAAAGTAATAGGTATTAATAAAGTAGAATTAATAGTATATTAGGAGGATCCGTAGGAGTAAATTAGAGGATTAGTTACTATAAGTAATATTACAATTGTATTCACTTTAAAAAAAGATATATTTAAAATTACTTCGGTTTCCGAGGGCTGTATCCTCTTCCTTTAGAAAGTCTTTATTTAGAATAAAAGGGTTAAATTAAAAAATAATATAAATAAATTTACCCTTTTTAAAAAATTAAAATTTAAAAATCCTAATTTAAATTTGGGTTAGGAGGGTATTAAAATTAAATTTTCTATTATCAATAGAACTAAATAAATCTAAAATAGTTACCTCTCCTTCCTTTAGTATAATAAATTTAATATTAGAATATACCCAATTAATCTATACATTTATATTCTCTTCTTTATTATATTATTTCTATACTAATTTCTAATTTGGAATACTGGTTGTAAGATATTAGTATAATATTTCTAGCTAGGTCTAATTAATATTAATACTTTTCCCACATCCAAATTTACTTTGTAGAACCTATAATTATATAATAGGGTAAGGGGTAATAATATTTTTTTTAATTATTATAAATATTATATACTACTTAAATATATTTTATAGGCCCTACCCGTAACCGTACAATTTCCACTTCCAATTTAATAATCTTTCTCCTAAAATTATCTACTTCTCTTTAGACTCAATCCTTTTATTCTTCGGCTTCGTCCTTTTATTTATTTACTTTAACTTTTTTAATTCGAAGATTATTGTTAAATTTAACCAAAATACTACAAACTTAGGTATATTATATATTTATATAGGGCCCTTCTTAATATAATTTATATTTATTAAAAGTAAATAGTAGTATAAAGTCGTTTATAGTCTATAATCCCCTAAATATTTCAATATAAAAGAGAAATAAATACTTTAAATTAAATTTAACGGTTATAAAATATTCGAATTTAATATTTATTATAATTGAACGAAAACGGATAGCGTATAAATAGTAAATTGAAGGAGATATAATATTATAAGGGAAATTCGGATATTTAACGAAGGAAAATATAATAGGAAAGAAAATATAATAAGAAAGGATATAAGAGAATATAATAGTAGAGGTTAAAGCGAACCGGCGTATTCGAGGTTTATTAAGGATTAAAAGAAGAAGATATTAACCGGAAGAAGAAATATAGAAATCTTCTTATAATAGGAGAACCCTAAGCTGTAGGAGGCGTATAAATATTAATAGAAAATAGAAGGACGGATAATAATTAGTACCTGCCCCGGAAATAGAAATAGAAGCTGAGGCGATATATTAAATAAATTTATTTATATTAAAAGGGATAAAAATATAAGGATATTAAATAAATAAATAAAAATAAAGAAATATTAAAAATTAAGATTTATTTCTAATAATTCTAATAGGAAAATAAATAAATAATTTATTAAATATTAATTTAGTAGAGGAGAAACTATTAGAACATAGAAATAGTATTAAACCGGCGGAAATAGTAATTTAATTAGGATATCTTAAATAGGGCCCTCCTCCAACTAAGGCATTTTAATTTAAAATTTCAAGTATAGAGTCTTATTTAAGTAGGACTAATTTAATTTTATATTACAAATAGTAATTTCATTAACCTTTTAAACCTATACAATAATAATTTAAACGTTATAAATAATAGCCTCTATACCTCCGGAGTAAATGAAATTTAAATATAAATTAGGATAGGGGGATAGGGTATTGAAGAGAGGCTTTTAATTATAATAATTTTAAAGTATTAGGGATAGAATTAAGGAATAAAATTAAAAATCGGTAAATTAGTATTATTCCTTTATAATATCTTTTATAAAGCCCCGGGTTATTTATTCTAAAATATATATATTCCCCTTCTTTAATAATATATCCTCGAAATAAAATTTCCCTATAGAGAAATTATAATTATTTTTCTATATAAAATACTCCTTAATTCTATTAGGAAGGCGAAGTATTTTATAAAAGCCCCCCTCCTCCCCTCCCGGTTGTTCCTTCTAATTTATTTTTCTTACTTTCTTTTAATTATATTTTAAAATAAAGTTTCTCTATAGGGAAACAACGTAGCTAAAGAAGATTTAATAATTTACTTTTCTATAGAAAATACTCCCTAATTCTACTAATAAAATAAAGTATTCTATAAAGGTTTCCTCCCGGTCGTTCCTCCTAATTTATCTTTCTCTACTTTTAACCACACTTCTTCGAAGTAAAGTTTTCCTACGGGGAAATAACGTAATTAGTAAAGATTTAATAATTTATATCTTCGTACAAAACACTCCAAATACACAGCCCCGTTATAAGTATAAACCCTTACCTATATTAAAATACCTCCATTCACTCGCTTATAATAACTAATTAGAAATTTTAATTTAATTTAATAAATTACAATATATTTATATATTTAAATAATTAAAGTATTTAACTATTTAATTCAACTAGATATTTATAATAACGCTCTTAATTTAAAAATTATCCCTATTTATATAGTAAAACCTCCTATTCAAATTATTCTTTATAATTTTCGATTACTAAATTAAATTATTTATTAAATAATTCGAAATTAACCCCTTTTACCCTTAAATCTTCTACTATATTTACTCCTATTTAAAAGACTGGATTAAAAGAATGTACTAATAAATTTTTATTTTACGTTTTTTTATTATATATAAATTCGAAATATATACTTAGAAATTAATTACTATAGAAAATATTAGAGGAATTCCATTCCTACCCTATACCTTATAAACGCTATATATTAATTATTAAATATTAGGATTTATATCCTTTAAAAATATAATAATATTTTATACCCTTCTAAATTATTAGTATATCCGCTATAACAATTACCCTATTTAAAGGATACCTTAAATATTTTATATAAGTATTTTCCTTATAATTAATAAGAATATTCTTAAAATAATGTTTATAGCGAATAAAAATTTTATTAAAATATTTATAGAAATTTTAATTAATAATTTATTTATAAGGTTTAATATAGTTAACTTTATTCACACTTTATTAAAGGAATTAGAAAAATAGAATATAGTATTTAAGGGCGAAAATAGGCAATTACTAGGTAAGGGTTAATTAGAATACAATTAAAATTAAATAAATTAGTATTATTTTACTTACTAAGACTAAAATACTATATAAATAAATTAACGGAAGCTAAAAATATCGGTTTAATACTTAAAAAAATTTTTATGCAATATTTTCAATATACCTTTTAAAATCCATTTATCTTTCCTAATATTTATTACTTTTATTCTATATAATAAACCTGCGTATATTTCTTTACCTCCCTGTATAGACTTTTTCGTAGTTCCGTATAATTAATTAAATTATAATTTAATAATTAAATATAGAAAGGGCCTCGCTAAAATAAAAATTATTCTCTCTATTTTTTTGTATAGTAGTAAACAACCCGGATAATACCGACCGGGGATATTTTATAGTAAGCGATTACTTAAATCGAATAATATTATTAAATAGGCTATTAAATATAACTTCCTTTATAGGATTTATTCTTTCCCTATAAAGAAATTTTAAATATTAAAATTTATATAGGCTTAAAATTTCTCTATAAAGAAATAATCTTAAACGGCCTAAAAAGTAATCAACGTTTATCTATAGAAAAAGAAAAAACGGGTATGTAAAATCGCTTAATACTAATATTTAAATTATTAAATTAGAAAACAAATAAATTAAGAAGTATAGTAATTATATATTTAAATAATTTAATAAAAATTTAAACCTATATTAATTTTAAAAGGAAATTACTTTATTTATACTATTATAAACCCTCCTATAAATCTAATATAATATTATATAAAATACAATTTAACCCCAACTAATTTTAATATATAACTTTTAATACCAACCCATTCTAATTCGAAAATATATTATATATCAAAATTACTACGACTATTATCTTATTTATTCAATCCTCTAATTATTCTATCCGAATATTTACTTATAAAATTAATTATATTTGTGAAGATATTACGGTATAATAATGTACCGTTTATTTAGTAAGTTCGAACTTAATATAAAAAATATTACGATTAATTACTTCGATTTACAATATTAGATTCTCGAACTAGTAAAATAATTAAACGCTAAAGGCATTTATAAAAATAATATTTCAATTAGTATATAAAATAGTAAAAATAAAATATAGGTAAGGTATAATATATACTATATATATTATTCCTAATTTTAAGTAATATTATTTCTATTAAGTAAGGTAAATTAAAGTAAGAACGTATTAGTATATTATCCAGCTTATAGTATAATACTATTTCTATTAAACTAATATTATCGGTATTAATTTTAATAATTTTAATAAAACTTAACAGGTAGATCTATAAAAGTTAATTCCCTCTCCAATAATAATTTAGTAGGTAGTTAATCTTTAGGATTGGTACTAGGTAATAATTTGAACTATATAATTTAAATATATTATTTAAGTAGTTTAAATTATTAAACTATTTATTACTAATTATTTCGAACTATAACCAAACGGCGCAGTATAGGAATATTAAATTCGAATATTGTCAGGAGGCTCAGAGCTCGTGCACGGAAGCACCTCAGCGGCTGCTGCTCCCCTTCGTCAACCGACGCGTAGGATTACTAATAATAACGCTTATATCGGGTCGGGCTCGTGGGAAGGATAATCCGGCACCGCGCCGAAGCGCCAAACTAGTACAGGGCTCTATAATACTCATTAACGGATAAACAGAGTTTGCATAGGTATAAAAGAGGCTCAACGGAACGTAATTTATTATAATTAGTAACTATCAATACATCTTTAAATTAACCCCTAACTTACCATCCCCTACATATAACCACGACCGTA